GAGTTTGACCGCGTCGAACAAAGCCCACGTATAACTGTTGATAAAAAACGTATTTGATTACAATAACAGCAAAAAATATAAAAAATGGTATAAAAAATTAATTTTATTTAGTGAATAAACAAATAAGTACCAGCTTTAACTACTGCTCCTTGCCACAAAATTCTAAATTATAAAGCTCCCACTATCAAGCATTAATGTTGATCAAATTTTGGAATTTCGCGGCCCCGAATGACACATTTTTAAACTCAAAATTTTACAGCACTTAGGAGCACCATCCAGTCATTAAGCACTCGATTCTCTTTAATACTAACCTTAAAAATTTTAAATAATATTAAGGCAAGTTTCTGAATTTCAAATTATTTTTATTTATTTTTATAAAACATTTTCAGTCACTTTTATCTGTACTTATCAATATTCGTCTAGTTGCAAGTATTTCGTAAAAGAGTAAATCATATCTATTAACTATAAGTAAGTCCTTTTCGTTTCAATATTATGCGCTAAAATTTTACATTTCAAGTTTTATTTGGTAGCGTTGTTCTGTCTGCGCTGTTTATCACTGTTTTATACTGATGTGATACAATATTTAATTGAAAACAGTTACGTATTCGCCATGGTACCACATCTACAAATGTTTGTGCCGTTGATACCACTGCAAGCTTTGGATAGGAACTTCGTTTTGCTGCCAAACACCATAACAAACGCTACAAACGAGATTTCAATAACACGACAAACGCAGTAAGCCACTATGTCAATTAAGTAATCCATTGCGCCAAAGTATAAACACATTTTTGTTGCTTTATTTAAAACCAATTTTTGTTTGTAAACTTTTAATATTTATCTTTGCGTTTTTATCCCATAATTGGCTTCAAATGCTTGTTATGTTCGTTTCCTCTTATTTGTCTTCATAAATTGTTCAGTTCGTTTGCAGGGTTCTTTAGTTCTTCCGTCCGGTTATAAAGCACGCTTTAGTGGGCTTCGTTGCCGCTTGGCACATCCTTTCATATTCAACTTCACACTGCTACTAAAGCAACTTCGCATACAGCAGTTATTGCCACTCATTTAAATTTCATGAGTAGCACGAATTCGCCGCAAATACTCTCAGCAGATAGCATGCTCCATGCTCCAGCATTTCACCTCGTCTGAGATATAAAATTGCTCAAAAGCATATAAAACTTGGTTGG